ATACAAATCTTAAAAACTAATGTTAGTAAAACTTAAAACTATTTACCTAATTTTAAAACTATATCTAAGGCAGGCCCGATTAGTCAGCACGTGCACCATATGACTATGGTTCAGGTACTGATCTCAAACCTGTCAGAAAATGCCTTCAGGATACCATTGGAACTGGCCCGCACCCTGCGCAACAGGGATTTGCATCGTTTACTCATGGTGGTGTAGAAACAATCCACACGCTCATCCGCCAACATACCCGGCGCATTACAATAACGAAGCAGACCCAACAGCACCCTGAATGCATTATTGTATTGAACACGCATTTAATGTGTAGCTTGTACTGTCAAAGATACGAAACGGCAACGTCGCGGCTGCTTTCAGCCAATCCGATTGTTTATCTTATCGTTTGCTGTGCTATGATTGGCCCATTTAAATCGGATCAACGTTTTCCGTAACCATCGCAAGGTGGATTTGTATATCGGATCAACTTCGGCAAACGCTTGCAAACAGGCTCGTGAGTGCAGATGTTGATCCGGTCGGAGCCACATTAGTTACCAGAGAAACAAAAGGCGTCGGATCAACATGCGTTTTCGGATCAACAAAGTGCTCGCGTGAAGTCGCGTCTGATCAACATTTACCGTAAAGAGATCTATATATATATATATATATATATATATATATATATATATATATATATATATATATATATATATATATATATATAGTTATTACAGATAGGTTTCAAATACTACAGCTTGTGGTTCTAGTCAAAGATTGGTGCCGAAACGAGCAAGGTCTTTGTCAGCACAATTTCAAAGTACATCTGAAGTTAGTAAAAACTGGAATTGTCCATTCCTATTTTCCATGAATCTACTGTAAGAGAATTCGCGCAATCTGCAATGCAATTTACATCAACATCTGGCCCATTACGAAGTTGGATTAATCAAAATAAAGTAATGACTCCTAAATTAATGGTCATAGATATTGTAGAAAATGATAACCCTATATCAGATAATTCACAGGGAACTATTTTTAATGTAAGTGGTAAGTTACCACAACCAATAAATTCTAGAATCAATATAGGAGAAAATGCTGGAAAACCTGTGATGGTTAAAATAAGCGAAAAAGAAATAATGCCCTGTTCTTTTAAGCTGGATACAAGGGATTCTGATACTTCTAGACAGTCTAGTTATGAACAAGTTTTGTTTGAGTTAAAAGGCAACCAAGAGAAAACACGCAGCCATGTAAGAGTACGTGGTGACAAGTTTGGTTCACCCTGTATTTCGAAAGAGAATATTTCAAATATTAAAACATCATTGATATTTATTTTATTTTATTTTATATTAATAAGGATAACAACAGCGTATATCACTAAATACAATTTCAAATTTACTTCAAGTATGCCAATAACAGTTATCCACATATTAAAAATAATAAAAATAGTTATCCACATATAAAAAATAATAACAGTTATCCAAATATTAAATATTAAATAGGTAAGCTATTATTAAGATAAGAAATTAAACAAATTAAAACAACTTAATAAAATTAAGTAATAAAATTAAGTAATTTTAGGTTTACTAACACTAAGATATTAGGTCTTTCTGACAAATTCATATGTGATTTACTTTTCGAGTTAATTTTGTAATTCATTTATTTATATCATGGCAAAATATATTCTATATATCATTACATATATACATATAAGCACACACATATACAGGTTGTTAGTGTAAACACCGTTGTCCTTGAAACCAGTGGTTTGGTTTCACTTATAGAAAATAATTTCAATGAAAAATAACAACATTTTTTTTTTAGTCAAATCTCAATTTTTTCTTACAATTATTTCACCCTAGGCAAGTAGGGATATACCTACAGAATTCACAACAAAAAACTCAACATATCGTAGGTAGCGGCAGCGATTCACGGTCAAGGCCAATGTCACTGTGTCAGTGTGTCAGTGGTGTCAGTTTCTTGCTGCGTCGGTAGGGAATGTACGTGTTAATTTGATTTAAAATCGCGCCGCGCGCCGTGCCGACATTCTACGTCGCTTTAGGTTGTAGTTTTGGTGCGAGTGTAGGTATTTTAGTTTGTAATTATATCCTACATAAACGTGCAGTAGAAATGTGCCTCTTCGTTCACTGAGAAACCTCTACTACCAACATGACGGTGCCCCTGCACATTTTCAGCTGCAAATCAGGGCTATGCTGGTTGAGGAGTTTCCTGGGCGATGAACCGACCTTACCCCGCTGGACTTTTATCTTTGGGGAGAAGTGAAGCGCCGAGTGTATGCAACTAAGTTCCGTAATCCCAGGCGGTCCCATAATGAACTGGCCTGATATAGTTCAACGCGACATGTCGCTACATGTTGTGTTGCATTAAATAGTACGTTTATCGTGCACTTAATATAAGAAACATGCATCGACATGAAATGCTTAGTCTTAGTTTAACAGGCATTTGAATAACGAGAGTCGCGTATTTTTTCAAAATGTCGAAAACTGAGTATCGAAGTGTCATAAAGTTTCTGTTTAAAGAAGGTTTATCCCCTGCCCAAATAAAAGAACGATTGGATGGCGTGTATAAGGAGTCTGCCACATCCTATAGCACAGTGAAAAATTGGGTGAAAGAGTTTCGCCTCGGGAGAGAAACCGTCGAAGACTTTGGCCACGACGGTCGACCTGTGGAAGTGCTCACTCCCGAAACGATTGCTCTTATCGAAGAGGAGGTTCTGAGTGACCGCCGTTTGAAGATTAGAGAAATTGCAGCAAGGCTTGGGCTCTCTAAGAGTACCGTTCATCGCGCAATCCATGAACATCTTCACATGAAAAAAGTGAGTGCAAAATGGGTACCGAAACTTCTTTCAGCGGAACAGAGACAGGAAAGAGTGCGCTGCGCTTCGGAGTTTTTGGATCTTTGTGGCGAAACTCCAAAGACTGTGATCGAGCGGCTAGTGACTGGTGATGAAACTATGATCTTGTATTATGATCCACAGAGCAAGCACGAGTCAATGGAATGGCGTTATAAGGGTGAAAAGCCCCCTAGAAAGGCAAAGGTGCAACAATCGACTAAAAAACTGATGTGCACAATATTTTGGGATTTTCAAGGCATTTTGATGGTGGATTTTAAAGAACGTAATACAGTCGCGAACGGCAAATATTATGCTTCTTTATTATATAAATTACGAGACAAGATAAAGGAAAAACGAAGAGGCAAGCTGTCTAAAGGTGTCCTGTTGCTCCATGACAACGCCCCTGTTCATACCGCTGGTGTTTCGAAGGATGCAGTTCGTCAATGCGGGTTCACAGAAGTTCAACATCCACCTTACAGTCCAGACATGGCCCCGTCCGACTATTATTTATTTCCAAATTTGAAGCGGGACTTAAGAGGAAGAAAATGTTCAAGCGATGAAGAGTTGCAGGCGGCCGTCTTCATTCATTTTGAGGATAACAAATGTGATTATTTTTATAAAGGTTTAGAGATGTTGATTCACAGATGTCAGAAGTGTATTCATGGTGATTATATTGAAAAATAAAATTGGTTTCGTTTCATTTCCTTCATTGGTTCATAGTTGGCCAATTTATTATGGGACCGCCTACGTACGTCCGAACTTAAAAGGCGAATTCTTATTTTATTTAGAGAAATGACACTGTTGTGCTTCTAGCTTTTACGATTAATGTAAAAGCTGATCAAAATGGAATTCATTTACGAGGATTTTATTTAATAGGTAAGTGTAAATAACCAATCAATCAGGCTACACATCAAGCTATACAAATCCTTTGTCTTGGCCTCGCTTTGTTTGATCTTTCCATACAATGAACGGTCAGCTTATGCTTCAAATGCCCTTTGCGTTCCAGGGCCGCGGTACGGTATACGGTAAATACGCCAAAAATCCTACCTAATCATTTACTATTTACTACTATTAATGTTTAATTTTCTTTGTTGTTAAATCTAACTTACATTAATTTGGACTCGTCACGCAACACAAAGGGTAGGAATTTTTATCTGTCCTAAGCAAGTGTGAAAGTATGAAGGAAAAGTTTCATGATAGGTTATGTGTACCATTGTGTTTATATTGAAATGTTGTGTAGGTAGCAAGGGCGGGTGATCTTTACAGTGATTACGTCACTCGAGCACATAGGGTATCCATGAATTTACGGACGGTGTCGGACAGAAACATTTTTAATTTTATAAAAGAAAATAGCGTTTTTTCTTAAAAAAAATCGGATAAATATTTTTATATTAAAGCCAACCACCTATGGTTTCAGTGACAACGGTGTTTACACTTACACACTGTATATACATACATATACATATATATATACACACACATATATACACACATATATATATATACATATACATACGTACACACACACATATATATATATATATATATATATATAATTTACTAAGGTTAATTAAACAACAGAAGCTGTGTTTAATATGCATGTACGTACCTTGTTTCTAAAATCACTTTTACTGCCTATAAAGGGATCGATGGTATTAAATGTTTTGTTATAATTTGATAGCAAACGTGTTGAGATACTATTTTTATCATAAAGTGTGGAATGACGAGGTATACTAAACAAAGTTTTCTTGGTGATTCTTGTACGTTTTCTTTGCACATTAAAAGTAACAGTATTCAGTAAATCCGGGCAGTCAATATCATCGCGTAAGATATTGTATAGAAATCCCACATCTAACAGTTTACGTCTTTCTTCAAGCGTAATAAGGTTATAGTGTCGGCAGTCATCTAAATATGATGAGCTTTTATGTTTAAATTTATAGTTCAGGTGTGAGATAAATTTACGTAGAATTCTTTCAATATTATTAATGTAAATTTTAAAAAATGGTGACCAAACCTGGCATGCATACTCAAGAGTGGATCTTACATACGAGAAATAAACTATTTTAAAACTTTAAAAAATTCCGTAAATGGAAGACATGTACGCATGACAAATCCAAGATTACGAAATGATTTACTACATATACTATTGATATGATCTCGCATGGTCATATTGGATATCGAGACCAGTTCAGAGGACGAAAAGCCACTAATTACCCAAGAGAGACCATGCAAACGTGTAAAGATACTTGGTGGTAAATCTTGTTCAGCTTCTACTTCCAATAAAAAGACAAGTATTACATTGATATCGGATATCGAGACCAGTTCAGAGGATGAAAAGCCACCAATTACCCAAGAGAGACCATGCAAACGTGTAAGGACACGTGGTGGTAGAAAGACAACAAGTATTGAAGAAGAATTAACAGACATCATTGGAACCACTTCAGAACATGAAAATCTCTCAAAAAGATCTGAAAATGAAAACTTACCAATATCAGATGAACAACTACTACAAATTCTTGAAGACCCTTATGAGAATTATGACGACGATATTTTTGATGCTGATTTCATTGAGAATACGAATAATAATATAATAATATAATATTATACATTCTGACAATGATAGCGACACATCAATTGTAAGTGAAGTCCCAAGAAATACTGAGGAAGTTCAAGAATGGTCAAATCACTATAGACAGACTAGAAGAATTAATTTTGAAGGAAATCCTGTAGGATTAAAAATTCAACCTGAGGGTTCAGAACCAATTGATTATTTTAATCTTATAGTGACAAATGAATGTCCTCAAATTATTGTTGAAAAAAGCAATGAGAATGCGTCTCGGATATTAGTGCAAAATTTTCCTGGAAGTAGGTTAAAATATTGGAAAGATATAACTATGCCAGAATTCAAAGTTTTCTTAGGTCTCTTATTCCATATGGGCATCATAAAATTGAACCGAATTCAAGATTATTGGAAAAAAAATCGATTATTCAATCTTACCTTTTTCCGCCAACATATGAGCCGGAATAGATTCTTGCTTACTCGTATTTTAAGAGTCCTTCACTTCGAAAACAATAATATTGATTGATTAAAACTACTTTTACGGATTTTATCGTGTTTATTTTACTTTTAATTACTTTTATTTTTTAATTCCCAACGTTTCGGGCGCTTTCCAGCACCCATGGTCACGGGGGACTGAGATGACTGACGTCCCGATGTCATTGTTAAACCCGGAGTACCTTCAGCTTTTTTAATTATTGTTTATGGTCCGATCTATGCATAATGAACTGACTGTGTCCTGAGGTCTTGCAGTGGTATGCTTGGGTTTAGTTTTAATTTTATTGATTATAGGATCCCAAGCAGGTGGTAGTACCCAGCCTCCTTCTCTATTGAAATTAGGATGTTTTTTAATTTCAATAGCCTCACGTATCATCCTTGGTAGGAATCGGTGTTCCTTCGCGAGGATTTGTAGTCTATCAAATCTGATGTAATGGTTGGGGCCGTCCAGGATATGATCGCAAACTGCAGACTTCCCGGAACGTTGATGCTTCACATCAGCTATATGTGCTTTTACGCGGGTTCTAATTGATCTTTTTGTTTGTCCTATATAAGAGAGACCACATTCACAATCAAGCTTGTACACTCCTGCATCTTGTAGAGGAATATGACACTTGATTGATGGTAGGAACTGACTAATTTTCTTCGGCGGCTTGTAGAATATTCTAATAGAAACTCGCTTCAAGATGTAGCCAATCTTGTCTGTGACACCTCTGACATATGGTAGTACAGCAGGCACACGCTCGACTGTGGCCGGTTTCACTCGGTCACTGTGACGTAGGCCGTAGACGCGGGACCCGAAGCTTGTTGTCGTGCAGAACTTGCTTGACATGCTGAAGTGCGGCGGCCAGGTGTTTGCTGTCACAAATCCCTCGTGCTCTCTGTAACAAAGATTTGCCCACGGTAGCTAACTGTGAAGGATGGTGGTGAGATTCACCGTTTAAATATCGGTTTGTATGGGTCTTTTTCCTATACACAGTGTGACCAATGGTGTTGTTAGGATTTCGGATGACTAACACATCTAGGAAAGGCAAGGAATTATTTGCCTCTAACTCCATAGTAAATTGAATTTTAGAGTTTATGGAATTAAGATGTTCTAAAAATGCAGTTACTTTGTCTGATGGTAAAATTGTGAAAGTATCGTCTACGTACCGCTTGTAGATCCTTGGTGTAACAGGTGCATTAAGGAGGGCTTTCTCCTCAAAGTCTTCCATAAATATATCGGCGACAATGGGACATACAGGTGAGCCCATCGCAACACCATCTACTTGCTTGTAAAACTCTTCCTTCGACAATAGATTTGAGTAATACTGCATATTCTGCTGGCATACTATTTTCCTCTATTTTCCTAGTTATAATTGAGATGCAGTCTTCAACAGGTAGGCATGTCAATAGAGACTAACCTTTCAGCTGCGGAGACTCTAACCGTAATACTTCGTTGACTGCGGAGCTGTTTAATAATGTTACGCGCTCCAATGCCTCAAATAGGCGCACTAGCACCATCTAGTCTCGAACCGAAGAACTAAACTTCTTGAAGTTTAAAACTCGAACTCTCGGTACCTTGCGCGTGTTTACTTGAACATTCTGGATATTTTGCTAATTTATATAAGTAGGCGCTGCAAGAGGCGAGGAAGCAGAGTTGAACTCGGCGACACAAGCGAAGCTTCGGAGCGGAATTAAGTGAATTAGTGTGTTTAATTACTAGTGTTTTTAGTTTTAATTTGTGTAAAGTAAAATAAAGTGTTAATTTAGGTAATTTTATCGGCAATTTTTATTGTCACGAACCTCAAGCTCGTAACAATTGGTGTCAGAAGTGGGATAAAATCATGCCGATTTTACCTAAGGTACCTGGTGCAGACATTCATCGACGGCATCCGTGACCTGGAAGTCAGAGCTGCTGTGAGGCTCGGGCACCACGAGACGCTTAAGAACGCCTTGGCCCATGCACTGGAGGTGGAAGCCGTGCGGCAGGATCATCGTTCCCATCGCGTCAGGGAGGTTGCAGCAGCTACAGTCCGTGACCGCAGCAAAGGATACAGCCCTAGGTGCTATGGCTGTGGGGAAAAGGGCCATCTTCGATCCAGCTGCCCTAAACTAACCGTGGAAAGGAGAGTTGATCGATCTCGAGAGGGTAGTACAGCTAACGGTACTGCCTGGTGGCGACAGGATCATCGTTCACCTCACGCTAGGGAGGTTACAGCAGTTACGGTTCGCGACCACAATAAAAGATACAGCCCTAGGTGCTATGGCTGTGGGGAAAGGGGCCATCTTCGGTCCAGCTGCCCTAAGCACGCCCTAGGAAGGGAAGGTGAACGGTCTCAGAAAGGAAGTGCGGCTAACAGCACCGCCCAGCAGCAGCAGGAATACGACTTTACTATCAGACACTGCAGCGGGAAATCTCACGGCAACGCAGATGCATTGACAAGAAGACCTTGTCCTGAAGATTGCAAACATTGTACTAGGCAAGAGAGTAAGGAAGTGGTATCCGTGAGGATGCTCAGGGCAGACCACCTCAGCAACGAGTGGAAGGACAGCTTACAACGTGCACAGCAGGAAGATCCGGACATCAAGCCGATCCCGGAATGGATGAAGGCCAGTGCTCCCAAGCCTAAGTGGAGCGACGTCTCAGCGATGAGTTCGACCACTCAAAGCTATTGGGCCCAGTGGGACAGCTTGCTGCTTCAGGATGGAGTTCTGTGCCGTAAATGGGAAAATGTTCGGGGAGACAGCTGTCATTTACAAGTGGTTGTCCCTAAAGCTAAAGTACCGGATGTTCTACAGCTGTACCATAATGATTATTCAGGAGGCCATCTGGGAGTTAAACGAACTCTACTGAAGATCCGAGAACGGTTTTACTGGGTCCACTGTCGAAACGATGTCGAGGACTGGTGTCGCAAATGTACAAGTTGTGCGGCTGTAAAGGGACCTCAGACTCGTAGTAGAGGTGCATTGAAGTTGTACAATGTTGGTGCACCATGGGAGAGAATAGCCATCGACGTGGCGGGGCCGTTTCCGGAGAGTGAAAGCGGTAACAGGTATTTCATGGTTGTGATGGATTACTTCACTAAGTGGCCAGAAGTCTTCGCCATTCCAAATCAAGAAGCTTCAACAGTTGCTGATAAGCTAGTTCATGAAGTCTTCTGTCGTTTTGGTGTACCTTTAGAGATTCACAGCGATCAAGGAAGGAATTTTGAGTCTCAAATATTCCAGGAAACTTGCCGAGTTATGGGTACTCATAAAACAAGAACGACTTCTTATCACCCGCAATCTGATGGAATGGTAGAACGATTTAATCAGACATTGGAGAGGTACCTAGCAAAAGTTGTAGACAATCGGCAACGAGATTGGGACAAGCACATACAACCGTTTTTGTTGTCATATCGAAGCGCTGTTCACGAAAGTACAGCAGTGACACCAGCTTTCGCAAACTTTGGAAGAGAATTACGGCTGCCTGCAACCTGATCACCGGGATACCACCTGATGCTCCACGCAGTATAACCGAGTATGCAAATGACTTGCGGAACAAAATGAATGACGTTTATGAGCACGTCAGACAATCGGGCCAGCAAATGTCTGAAAAGATGAAAACCCGGTATGACCGCAAAATGAACAACAAAGGGTTCGACGAAGGTTCACTTGTGTGGTTGCACAATCCAGTCCGCAGCAAAGGGAAATCTCCTAAGCTTCAAGCTAAATGGGACGGCCCGTACCGGATTGTGACCAGGATCAACGATGTAACCTACCGGATACAGAAAGGCGCAAGAGGGACTCCTAAGATCGTCCATGTGGATCGCCTAGCGCGTTATTATGGGGCCGATAATGCTCGGGACGAGCATGTCTTAGGAGGGGGGCAGTGTTACGCGCTCCAATGCCTCAAATCGGCGCACTAGCGCCATCTAGTCTCGAACCGAATAACTAAACTTCTTGAAGTTTAAAACTCGAACTCTCGGTACCTTGCGCGTGTTTACTTGAACATTCTGGATATTTTGCTAATTTATATAAGTAGACGCTGCAAGAGGCGAGGAAGCAGAGTTGAACTCGGCGACACAAGCGAAGCTTCGGAGCGGAATTAAGTGAATTAGTGTGTTTAATTACTAGTGTTTTTAGTTTTAATTTGTGTAAAGTAAAATAAAGTGTTAATTTAGGTAATTTTATCGGCAATTTTTATTGTCACGAACCTCAAGCTCGTAACAATAAAATAGACGGCTGATTGGGCCCAATCAGTTTAAACGCAAATATCTTGATTTTGGTATATCGAATACTATAATATGTATACATTTCTGAATTCTCTATGAAATTTCCTATAAACGAGTACATATATTTAATAAAGTTTTAAAGTAATTAGTATAACTAATTAGTATAATCATATTTCTCAATGACACAAAGTTTTTTAATAGCTCAATTTTATTTTATTTTAATCTTACATCTATTGCTTACAATATTTTATGTGCAAAATCATAGGCTACTATACAATTTTTTATCATAAAACGCATTAATAATAAGCTTACAAGAACCCACAATCAACTTACACCGATGTAGAATGT